CAGGTATTCATAAAAAAAAAAGTAAGCTTGGAAACCTTCATCTCTATCACTTTCACAGCTGATAAATGAACTAGGAGCGGTAGATGCTAGACTGGCTTCTCAACTGTGTCAGCTTCTCTCTGGAGAACAGCAAGACCGAACTGTGAAGAGATCAGTGGGCAGCAAACATATCAAAGTAATTATTTTTCCATTTTAGTTTATGCAAGTTAGAACATTGGCTTTTTTCTGAGTCTGACATGTCTATATTTTAGGTTTCAAAAAAGGCTAGGTTGGAAGAAGCAGAGGAGTCAGAATCAGATGAGGAAGCGAATCTGCGCTTTTATAATGCCATGGCGGAGAGACAGAAACTTAAGAGGAAGAAGAGCGAGATGCAGAACGAGGACAGGTGAGTCCGTTTACCTAATTGTCACTGACTTCATTTCCAGATTGTCGGAGAGACAGAAACTTAAGAGGAAGAAGAGCGAGATGCAGAACGAGGACAGGTGAGTCCGTTTACAACATTCAGCACTTGCAGTTTGTCATAAATAATGCTTCAGAGACCTAATTGTCACTGACTTCATTTCCAGATTGGTGGAGGAGGAAAAGATGGACGGAGATGCTAAAAGAAGGATCACCTATCAGGTGATGTGTTGTGGTTAAATGATGCATGCAACTCGCACCCAAACAATTTTCAAAAAACTTGAACTTGTGTCCTGAAAGTTATATTAGGGACAGTGTTATCATAACCAAATCATGTTTTGTGAAAAGATGTCCAAGAACAAAGGGCTCACACCCAAGAGGAAGAAGATTGATCGGAATCCCAGAGTCAAACACAGAGAGAAGTTCAGACGTGCCCAGATTCGTCGGAAGGGTCAGGTAAGTGTCATAGGATTCATTTCTGTAATTCACTTTTGTTTGTGAAATTTAAGGTATCACTACTCAAAACGGACACTGACTGCAGATTATTTGTGTCAGGTTCGTGAGGTGCGGCGTGAGGAGACAAGATACAGTGGAGAATGGTCTGGTATTCGTGCTGGAGTCAAGAGGAGCATCAAACTCAAGTCATAAATCTACAGATGATACTCATGCAAACTTGAATGAGATATTAATATGGACTTTTCTGGTGTTTCTGCAATGTTTATACTCACTATCACCGATATTAACAGATGGATTTGACATGTTTTGTGCAAATGCTCAAACAGCAAATAAAATAAAATCAAGTTCTGATCACAGTAAAATGCTATTTTTTAAAAGTTATTTTTGGTGTTATGTGCATTTCAAAACTGTTAGCATATTAAAAATGTTTTAAACCTCAAAAGTATTAACACGTTTATTGGAGAAAGTTTATTTTTTATACATTACACATACATTATATAATATTATTTCCATTGTAATTTACATCGGCTGTTAAAGTGTGTGATTTCTTGCAGATGGACTTAAAGTTTAAAAAAATACTAAGCAAAGGGAACATTAGGATAATTACTGAAGCATTTTATTGTGTTTTTAAACTGATTAATATCCAAAGAAAGCAGATGAAATAAGATATTTTTGTACAGAGGAAATTAATATAAAGGAAAGTATTAGATCTCTAATAAACAAATTCATTTTACAACAGAGAAGTTTCTGAACTTGCAAATGTTAATTGGAACGACACAACCACAAGTTAACTTTCCAGGATCAGTTTCTCTATTCAAATTTGAACCAGAATTATTACAATACAACAAAAACTGATCCCAGATCTGCCTTGAGCCTACAGTACATGCTACAAAATCACAGAATGGTTTTTTATACTTGAGACATAAATTGACTGTGTGCTGCAGTCAGATTACTGACAATCCTGTCCTCAATCTCTACCTCTTTTTGCACTTCCTCATCTGTGAGGACCAGCTCTTGTTGCGTGTCCTTGGTGACAACAACCACATAACCACGGCGTGTGTCGAGAACATTCGCAACCACTGCTTGGTGGTTGTATGTTTCTAAGGCACGCCGTGCTCGCTCCAGAAGGATGGAGGGGTCCGTTTCCAGCTTGAAAGAGATGACGAATGACTTAGGTGCCCAGTCCTTCACCAGTGGGGACAGCATCTTGGGAACCATCTTCATACTTATCTAAATAACATTAAACAAGCAGAGGAATGACATGTTATATGTTGTTTGGAGTCTAGATTAACTAAATGTAGCATAGCAGATGGGTGTAAAAAAAATAAACCATGAACTTCTTAAACATAAAATATATATAAATGACATTTTAAATAAATCTAATATAATGAAAAATTTATAAATAGATCAAACAGCACAGTACTTTAGTTAGTAGAAAAACATTCATGTAACATAATAAAAACTAAATATATATTCAAATAATACATATTTTTCACATAAATTTGATCTTTATCCATGAAGATATATAGCTACTTTTTACAATTTTAGAATGGGGGTCCCTTGCACGAGGATGATCATATTTGGGGGTCTGTGGCAATCTAAAAGATTGAAAACCCCTGGCCTAGAAGACTGAATTAATATTTGTATTTATTATACAACACCTGAAGTGGACCATTAGAGGACTGGATTTTGTGTTCTGGCATTTCACAAGCTGGGATGTAGAAATCAGAAACAGCAGCAGCCAAATAAAACATTGCCTTGGACCCTAGGAGGGAAAACCAGAAATGAATACAACTAGTAATCCCACTACAAATGTATTCAGCCTCGAGTAATCAAAAAGTGGCTTTGTTCACCTATGGAGCTTAATGCTTGAGCTGCAGCCTTGAGTAGATGGAGGTACTCCGACAAGGTGTTGAATTCCACTGGCAGCAGTAATCCTGCCGCTTTCACCGCCTGATAGCGCTTTAGAACCTTTGCAATGTTTGGAAGCGCGTTCTGATCCACCAGGATCTGACCAGCGTCCTCCTTACTACTCTCTGATCGTATGCTATCCAGTAAACTGACCCCTGTGTACAGACGAGTGTAAGGGTAGAGAGAACGATGCCTGTGCAGAAAGATCACTGCATAGCCCGAGTCCAGAAAATACTCGGCAGAGGAGGCCCCTCGCCGGCCACTGCTGAAGTTGTCCAGGAACCGTACTGTTCGGGATTCCAGAGGAACTTTAGTTCCTCCCGAGGTGATCAGAACTACTCTGCGCCCGGCCGATCCGTGATGTTCGGCAAACTCTGCCATGAGTTTCTTGACCTCCTCCGCATGAGAGGGGACCGCGAACTCTTCAGACAGTCCTCCATCCACTGCCTTTGAGGCTGAGGGCTCAGAGTGGGCCATCGAAACCTAAAAGAATACATTTTTAGTTATTAAAGTGTTATCAATTTGCAAGCGTTTATGAATGACCATTTGGAATTAGAAATAAGCTCAGACAGATTTCAGACCCAAAGTAAAAATGACATTACATAATTGTCCCTGAGCAATACACTGTTGGTCAGCTAAGGTCAGATGAATATTTGACGAAGTTCTTGCACTAATTTAAAGTTAAGTACGAGAAAGATACATTCTCGCTGTCAGTGTAATCTTCTCTTATTATCACGTTGATAAACAAGGGTTTACCTGTTTGCTCACTCACAAATAAAACGCTAAAGAATAGAATTGACCAGCGAATGACCCTGATAAACTTGCACTTGGTGTGTGACAGATCAACAGGAGCAGTTCCCGCAACTTATTATGGTTGATGTGCGCATGCGCAGCTTCGGATGTTGTGATTGGCTCTTTCAGAGGGCTGCAGTGAAATTTCCAAAATAAAGGTTTTCAGGTGACTATTATTCTTTCTGCTTTTATGGGAAACATGGACCACAGTGGTACGAAAGACAAAAGAAAGTACACAAGAAAACAGAGATAAAATAAGGAGAGTATATTACGTAATTTATTTAATATATTTAATTTACTGTGGTCAATAAACAGTGGCATAATCATCCATCCAACATATCAAATACATTTCTAATGTAGGATTTGAAGGAGGAATGAGCTGCAAAATATTTGTAAAACAGGTCATTCACATTCAGGTTCACAGGGGGCAGCATTGTTTAAGCAATACAAAATGAGTAGCATTTTACAGCTTAAAGGCTGCAAATCATTTTGCAAACATTTAGGACTGGGGTCATGAAAACGTCGCATTGTAAATGTGATATTTACATATCTTACAAATGAATAAATGCTCTTAATTTTAAGATTCTATTAAAATTAAAATAACTATAAAATAACAATACCTATTAAAAGAACCATAATAATTAAAATAAGCAATAAATAAAAGAAATGAGGAAGTTATTTGAAACCAGAAACACGTGGTGTACCCACTGATCTATATAATGACTATTCTCTGAATATGACTATTTACTTCTCTATTATAGATCAGTTTGTGTACCACAAAAGTAAAACAAATGAGGAATATTTTTCTTCCTCCAGACAAACGGATCAAAGTGGGGGAAACGTCTTTATTGAATGTATTATTATTATTATTATTATTATTATTATTTTGGGGTGCTGTCCACATCTTTTATTAGGAACAGTTATATTAGTAGGCCTACATATATCGTTACCCATGTGCCAAAATCTTTATGAACGGCACCGTTATTAGCAGTAATAACGTTTCTTATTAACAGAATAGGTATTTAATATTTTAAATACTGATTAATATTAAAATAGTTCAGAAGATTCCGGACGAAATCACAATCCACTGTGGTAACTCAACATCCATGAATTGTCTGATTTAAAACCAGACAAAAACTAATAACAGCATAAAACCAACTTCATTTGATCAATACATTTAAAAAAAACATGTTGGGAACTATCTACATCTTTTAAATTTATATTCGGATATACTGCTACTCTTTCGACAAAGGAAATCGAAATTGTTTTTTATCATATGGTATGGTTGCGCTGAAGAAAAGCTATTTATAATAATTTTCGTGATAATATTCTTGTACACTAAAGGCACTACTTTCCGGCTGCAAAGCCTGTCGCAGCTTGGTAAAGTGGGCCGTTCTCCGGCTAATGTCCAAAAGTAGTTCCGGATTTTTGATCCGCGCAGTCCCCGGATGTTAGCTATTCGGAGAGAAAGACGAAAAGAGCCAGCGAGAGAGAGAGGCGGAGAAGCTAGGAGACGCCACGGACAAACCGGTAAAGGGATTGCGGGTCTCAACCCCAAGATAAACACGGAGAGCTGTGGCTCGTTTCGAGGAGAGAGAGGCAGTTGTGATCGAAAAAGGAGGGGAGGGGACGGCTAACTTTGACAGACCTGCACTGGCCTCCAGTAGCGGACACGAGCCCGGGTGAGTGCGGGTGAACGTTACGAGCTCGCGACATGGAGCTCGCGAAGTTGAAGTCAGGGCCCGCGAAAAATGGACGACTTTAAGTATTAGTTGTGTGGTGCTTAACTGTTAAGTTCTGAGCAGAGCGGAAGGAAGGACGTTCAGGCCTCAAGTGGTATGCTGCCGCCGTCGTTCGGGGGCAGATGGGGACACTGCAAGCGCCACTGTCACAGGAGAACAAGTTTACTTAGCAAGCAGCTAGCCGCCAATACGGTGTTTGTCAAACAGGTAGCGAGAGTGAGCTGCTAATTAGCCGCCAGCTTTACTTTAGCTCGCCTGTTATTTGACAGGCGTCTAACTTGGAATATTTGTGACTGAAACTCGGCCAGTAAGCCGAGCTGGAAGGGAGCTCTTCGACCGGGAACTGCCAAACGAGCAACTTTTGGTCCTGTCAACTAACAGTAGTTGGAGGTGGAGGCCGTGTCTATTAATATTTTGAAAGCAGACGTGCGGCAGCTGCGTGTCATTTTAAATACGAATCCAGGCCAACTTGTGGTGCCATTAAGATGCATATAACTTCGGTTTTTGTGCGAACAAGAGGTGTAAGATTGTTTATGGAGCGTTATTGAGATTTATAGTGTGAATTTATGAAGTTTTGCATGAGTTGTTTACCTCTCTGACAGCATATGCTGGATGAAGTAGCACTTTAGGTGAATTCGACGACAGGTTATAATAGTAGTCAGTTTCAGCAGTTGTGATCTTACACTGAGCGATATTTGTAAGATTGTATACACCTCATATATAGACTGTCATATCTAGTCAGTGCAAGACTAGTCCCCCGTCTGTGTAGCTGCTGGAATGTGACCCGCTGTCTGTCAGTTATTTGGATTTTCCCCCTTAGCTGCTGCAAGAACATACCTTTGCTGTCATGTTGTGCTCTGTGTTTAATTTGTTTTCTTGTTGTTTATATCGCGATGTCTAACGTTAATAATTTGACATTAAGGCAAGACACCACAGGTGAATATGGTAACAAGTAGACATCACTATACTTCCCCAGTTGATTAATCACAGTACAATATGGCAATTGTTTTGTATTCCAGTTTTTTAAATAGTATGTTTAAATATGAGGTGTGATGTAATTAATTATGCACTCATTTGTGTAATTGCATAAATTGAATTTTTGTTTCGTTTTGTTGACGTATTAAGAGTATTTTTTTGGTATCTCTATTTATCGCTCCATAAAACAGAAAATGCTGGCAACAGTAGTAAAATGTTATATACAGTCAGGTAAGTGGTATTTAAATAAGCTACTCTGTAAATACAGAATATAGATAGGAATAAAACTCTGTACGTGCTACTGAATTGAAGGATTATTGCTCAGTACAGGCGAAAAAAAACAGCCTTTAAATATATGTATTGTAATTAAATTCCACAGATGCAAAAAGATAAAGAGATCATTTTTTAAAATGTGAATTTTGGGTGTTTTTTTTCACTAGTATGAAAGAAGACATGTTATAGAAGCAAGATAGACTAATATCTCAAAATTGACCAGTGCATGAAAAAACAATGGTTTTGACTGTAGTGTCTTGTCTTATGTTGACAATGACAGGTTGTCTGCATATTTTTGCATGCATGTTACATTTGTATTGGCCTGATGAGGATTGACCAACAGCATTTAATGAGTTCTAATGGGATTTTCTCCCCCTCCTCATTCACTAGAGATTAAAGTACGAATGGAGAGACTGTTGAATTATGTACTAGCATGCTTAAAATATTGAATGATGGACATATGTGAATTACCCGGGACATATTTTCCCCACCCATTCAGCGTAGCAGTACAATAGTGTGAAAGATTCACGTTAGCACCAGACTTGTTTGTCTTTGGGTTGTCAGCCCACAGAACGCAGAAAACGATTGAACCATCAGTTGCCTGTCAGAACACGCCTGGTGGTTCTTGTGCCGAAACTGCTGCCTTTTAGTATTTACAATTATTGCATTAAGAACATTGTTACATTTGTATAAAAAGTAATATGAGTCATGAAAATTATGCTGTACATTTTAAACTCTGTAATATTCTGTACTTTTGTATCGATGTAAAATGGAATAGCAGACTATATATATATATATATATATGTATGTATGTTTGTGTATATGTGTCATTAGCATTTGTTAGTTAAATGTATATTATTAACCCTCTATGCACACCGTGGCAATATAATCACCATAGGCTAGTAAATTTTTTCGTTTACTCGCCAGACTGATATACTGTTTTACACACACACACGTTTACTTGGCTATCTAAATGGGGACATTACATAGACTTCTATTGTTTTTATATACAGATAGTTATACACTTTTTAACCTAAACCCACCCCTTCCCCTTAACCCTACCCCTCACAGAAAACTTTCTGCATTTTTACAATTTCAAAAGTAAAAAAAAAAACTGTTTACTTTATTTTTATAACAGTTTTACAAATTTTTGCCGATTTTGTCAGGTTTTGCTCACTTTTTGGTACAAATTTGTCCCCAGAATATGATTAAGTAGGTACACACACACACACACACACACACATGATTCCACCCAAACAGCTTATCTTTATAAAATGGAGCAGCTTCTTAAATAACTGAATGTGCACTCTTAACTTCAGCCAATCAAGAATTATATTATGATAATTAAGCACTATTTAATGATAGAACTAGTGATTAGAAGTAAAACTTGGTAACCATGAATGAATGCATATTTGTCATTTTAACTGAACTTAGGACTGGTGGTGGTGTTTAAGATATTGTTGGTCATGGAATTATTATAATTAGTAATTATTATTAAAAGATACTACTACTACTATTATTATCTGCTGAGTTCATGAATATTAATCACGTTGTCAGTGTTAGCTCGAACTGATTTGCTGAAATCAAAACAGGGACGGTAATAGATGAGCGCCAGCCAACAAGAGCTGTTCGCGCATTAGCTCCGCCCACTGCCGAGAAACCGGCATATCTTCTGCTTGTTCTTAAAAGCGGAATAATTCTAAATAAACTGTTATTTTGACAGGAAAATACAACAAAGAATGTGGTTTACATGTAGCGCGTCGATTCAGCGTGGTATGCAAGACTCTCGCTCTCTCTCTTTACATGTGTGAGAGAAACAGCGCTATCAGTAAAGCGACGGCGAGTCGTGCGCCTTCACACTAGTTTACGGTACGTCAAATACAGGTGCGCTGCGTGCTACATACTGCGCATCCATTGAGTACATGACATGATCCATTGAGCGCAGATCTAAATAGTACAGATCGCTTGACGGAGAGCGAAACTCTCAAGCGCTCAGTCAGCGTGTTTATCGAGTGAAAATCTGTGTTGAACGCCTCTCACACTCATACTGGCATGTAAAATCTAAGAATTTATTAGCCAATGGCTAAAGTTAGACATTATTTAGTCGACCAGAGTACTTCAGTTTTAAATGCAAGTCTTAAGAAAAGGTACCCCTGAAGTGTCATTTATCTTTCAACTTGTTCTGTATGTTGTTCATTAGTGATTTGCTAAATGGGCTGGAATGGGAGCTGTTAAAGAACACCAGCATGGCATCTGTTGTAGCGTACCATAACTGTTCCCATGCCAGGATCTGACGAGGCCTCCGCTGCAGTATTGCATACAGACTCGTCTCCGTCTTGCCCTCAGGCCTCAGTGGGCATCCTGCCGCTACGTCTAAACTCACCTGGAAACAGCTAGCTTTATGCATTCCACCTACTTTATCATCACTAAAGGTGCCATAGGCTACACGCCAAATGGGGCATTGTATGGCGCTTTAGATCTTTGGTGACTGTGTTATTCATTTTTTTTTTATATGTTGGAGCTATACGGTGTTCAGTGTAATGAGCTGTCTTTACCGTTACACTGTTTACAGTGTTTTCTGAGGCATTAGCATGTTTTATTTTTCCCCTCTGCTGAATTGGTTGATATGATTTTGTCCCACATTTAGAAAAGTTAAGCCTTTCTCCAGCTGTGCTGCAAAAACATCTGTTCTCTTACATTTGTGTTGTGTGAAACCAGTGTATCAAATTCTCTCTTTTTCTGTCTGGTTGCAACAAGTGGTTTGCTTCCCATTTTCTCCATTAGATTTTCACAATCAAGACGGATTTTAGTTTGTGATGTTGAAAAACACTGTTATGACATTGAATTAGCAGCAAGGCGTGTGGAGATTGAGCAGTCTGATGTGAGCAAAGAAGAGACAGCCCCTCACCTTTCGCATACCAATAGCTCATTTGGAATGCAGCGGTGGCCCTTTGCCCAGCCCTGTCTCACTGAGAGGCTTTTAATTTTTCCCCCTTGTTGAAACGATTATTTAAATGGCTCTCCGTGAGATTAAGTTGTCAGACTCCTGTTGGTAAATGGGGCCCAGGCAAGCTAAATGCATGGCTTCCCCAGCTCAGAAACTGCCCATCAGGTAACCACTTGTTGCATTGCTCCTCCGCTCCCCCTGGCGATGACATTAAATATCTGGACTAAAATGCTTTTTGTTACTTTTCTGTGCTATGTATTTTCTTGTTTACTTTCTGCAACCCTCAGTGGTTGTCAATATTGCATGTTGGTGCTTGTTAGGCATATAAATTACTATGACTCAAAGAACATAGCACTCTTGCAATGCTAGTGTTAAATTAATTAGTGTTTTTTTTTTAGTTAAATGCAGAATCATTTACATTCTGGTAAGCAGTGTTAATTCAGACAAGCTGCCACCATTAATATTACAGTCCTTTCACAGCATCTTCTCCTTTCCTTTTATATCATGGTTGTGATGGAACATTTTCATAATCAACTAGTCTTAGGTTTAAAGACTAGTTAACTTCTTGATTTCTCAATTTTAATCGATTTTCATGTTGATGAACATTGATTTGTAAATCCCAAGATTTATCTTTTAGTCTATCACTGTAAATGATGAATTAAGAGACCAAGATTCTGAAAGGGTTTTACCATGAGGCCTTTTAGCCTGCAAAAGCAAAACGCATGCTCAGGATGCTAAAATGCTC